GGGGGGCGCGGGCGGGCGCGGGCGGGCGCGGGCGGGCGCGCCCCCGGGGAGAGGGGCGTGGGCGGGCGCGCGCCCGCCGGGGCTGGGCGGGGGCGCACGCGGGACCCCCGGCCCGACGCAGCCTGCCCCGGCTTTGTGGTCCGGGTGCCCGGTAGGGCGCGGACGGCGGGGGACCCTGGGCACAAAGCCCCGGGGCCGCGCCAGGCCGGGGCGCGGGTCTGCGGAGCGGGGGTCGGCGGGCGAGCGGGCGCCGGCTCTTTGTGCCTTTTCATTAGCAATCTAATCCGAACAGCGTCGGGCGAGCTGCGCTGCCTGACAGGCGGGCGGGCTTCCATTATGCAAACGGCCCAGCGCCCGCGGCCGCCCCTCGTAGGGGGATTTTGCTATTTCCAGAACTGCGGCCCTTCTTTGGCTGCCCGTCCCCTTTTCTTGCTCCCTCCCCGCGGGAAGACCGGCCTCGGCAGGGGCAGGGTTGGCCTTGGAGGGACCGCTCCCAGAGGGCCAGGCCCTGCGGCTGGTGGGCTCGCTGCCCTGCCCCCAGACCTCTCCTGTAGGCAGCCACTTGGCAGGAAGAGAGATGGGCTTGGGGGAGGGGGTCGGCTGGCAGAGGAAGGGGGCTGAAGGGCCTCAGCTTGTCACTCTGTGTATCTACGAAGATGGTTCATATCCACATAGACTTATTTGGTGGCGGGGAGGCAGGGATGCCTCTCCCTGGGGGGCAGTGACTTATGGAGAGGAGGGAGGGAGGGAGGGTCAGATAATGCGCCCAGCGGCCCCACCCAGAACAGCGTGGGACTGCCTGGGGAAGGGAGCCTAGTGCTGATCCGGATGGGTTGGAACGGTTTTGAAGTTATTTATTCGTGTCTTATATCCCCTCCACCCTCAGTGTCTTTCTTAGTAGGAGTTGCCAAGCACATCTGGAAAGCTAGGTTTCCGTCCCCCCAGCCCCCAACAGCAGGAGGGGTGTAACCCAGGGAGGCCACCCCTCTGACATATGTGGTGGGGGGGAGGGGCAGAGCTTTGCCCATAGGAATCCTGTGGCAGTGGATTGTTGACTGATGTGGGGATGGCCGCGCTGGGGGGAGGAGGAGAGCTGGCAGGTAGTGGAGGGGCCTCCAGAGCTTCTAGGCTGAACTTGGGGCTGTTCTCCAGGGACTTTGGATGGAGGGATGGGAGCTAGGTCATCCAAACCCAGGACCTTTCTGGATCTAGCATTTATTGGTTCTTGGCTCCTGGCCTTACTTCTGCCCTTACGTTCCCATCTGCCAACTCTGGACTTGCCGGCCCTTTTAGCAGACGTTTTCAGGAGCACTGGCCATGTGGCTGGTCTGTAGCCCTGGCTCCAGGAGAGAATGTACACTTAACAGAGCTGGGTTGCTGGAGTGGTCTGGAAAAAAAGCAGATGGGCCGGCCTCAGGCTGGCCTCCAGAGACAAAGCTGTGTGGTGAGATTGCTGGTTAGCTGGCTCTTAGCACCAAGGGGGGGGATGGGAAGCTGATACTTAGGGGTTGAACTGAGTCTTTTGGCCCAGGAGTAGGTCACCTTGCCTTCGAGTGAACCTTTGGTCTTGTATAGTTGGGCTTATGAAAATCTCTGGGTCCCACTGGAAGGCAGTAGACTCAGAAGGCTGGGGGAGGGCTCCCCACCTGCCTGCTCACCTTAGGGGTCAGAACTCCCAGGTTGGTCTGCTTTCCTTTGGCTTCTGGCTTTCTGCAGACCAGTTGTGGGGGAGTTGCTGAGTACCTCTTGCCCAGCTTCTCTGGCCGTTTGACTCAGAGTGCTGGTGTGTGCCCAGAATTTATCCCTGCAGTGTTTTCCTGCCAGTTGTTAGGACTTGTAGATTAGTCACTCAGCTTTTACAAGCGATTCCTGAAAAGAAAAATCTCCCTCTGGTTGCTGGCTCTGCATAGAGGAAGAAGCAGCCCGAGGGAGCCAGGCCTTTAATTAAGGCAAAACTGAAATGATTGCTGCAATTGCTGGAAGGAGAAGCAGCAGTGCAGGTGGGGCAGAGGCGCTGCGCCCTGTCCTGCCGGGCAGTACCTGCTCTGGGGACAGGTAGGCAGGAACCCATCCTCATTCCCTGCTCTTGGCCGGCAGCCCAGCCTTCTCCACAAGCTGCAGTCCTGGATTAATCCTCACGTAGTGTTTTCTTTCCATAGATCAGATTTCTCATTTTGTTAATAAGCACAGCCTCCGATCCACTTGAAGTCAGCTGTCGTGGACTTGGAGCAACAGGGTTTTGCATTATTGAGCTGACAGGCCTGCTGCCTTCCCGGAGTTCTTATTGTGTGTCAGGGTCAGGTCTGGTGGTGGTGGTGGTGGTGGTGGTGGTGGTGGGGTGGGTGGCTTGGGGGCAGTGCCTTTAAATCAGCAGCTAGCCCCCAGAGAAGGGCTGGCTGGGCAATTCTGGAGAGTCGGAGGAATGAGGAGGGAATAAAGTTCAGTTTACCCAGGGGACCTGTGGTGTTGCCCTTTTGCTGGCCTGTTGGCCTCAAGCTGTCAGCCCCACCCAATAGCTTGCTTGCCTTGCCCACTGGGGCTGAGGGCCACTGCCCCCAGGACCTGATCACTAAGAGGGTGGGGGCTCGTCCTGTTTCTGGCACCTGGGAGGCAGCTTTCACCATCGAGAAGAAACAACCAGTCAGGTTCTTAACCTCCTGGCTCTTGGATCCTGGCTTGGGAGGGACTCGTGGAGGGCAGTGAGAGGGAACTGGACTTAGAAAGTCTGGAGTGCGACATTGGCTCTGCCGTTTACTCTCCGTGTGACCTTGGACAGTGATTGATTCTGAGCCTTAGTGTCCCCGTGTCTAAAATGGGAGCAAAACTTGAGTTTACATTCATGTATCACTGCCCTCGAGAGCTCAGCCTGGGGCAGACAGGCAAACAAACGATTATAAGATAGGCTGATAAGGGCTGGCACGGTGCTGCATGCATGCAGAGGGCGCCGCGGGGCTGGTGGCTGCAGCTGCAAGGCATGGAGGAAGGGGCCGGCTCTGGGCTGGAGGAGAGCCACAGATGCCATGCTGGGTTCAGGTTGGCTGTAGGAGAGGGGTTTTAATGCGGAGCGCATGGAAAGACAGTGGCGGTGTGGAGTGGCCAGGGAGACGGGAGAGGCGCGAGACCGCAGACGCTGTGTGTTAGAGAAGCTAGCACAGGAGCGCCCTCTGTGTGCCAGGCACCTGGGAGGCTCTTTCGTAAGCTTTTTATGCCTTCAACAAGATTTTCTGAGAACAGACACCCCAGGGGCGCAGTGCCCAGCCCCTGCAGCTTGGCTGGATCGTGCTGGTCTCTGACTCTCACGGCCTTGTCAACAAGTGGTCGGCCGTAGGCTGGGAGATAGGGGCACACTCGAGTTTTTTCGGAACCCTTCCAGGTCAGCACGCCGGATAGTCTCCTCTTACAGACGGTAAATGAGACTCAACTGGGAGGTTACATAACTTGCTGGGGCTGCAAGTAAGCAACTGGTCAGGCTGGGGCTGGAGGATAAAAATGCCTTTGACTCCAGGGCTTTGTGAGGGCCCATGTGGTGTGGAGTCTAGAGAGGTCTGAGCTCCAAGCAGGGAGAGGCCAGCAGACAAGCCCCCTCCCCAAGAGGATCCTGGTTCCGGCTTAGGGGCTTCCAAACAAGCCAGGCCAGTTTGACTCTGCCTGGCACCGCCAGCCTGTGCTTCCTGCTGGGAGGGGCCTTGCCCTAAGGGATAGGGACCTGGGCTGGGGGAGGTCTCTGAGAGCTCCTGTAGCCTGGAGTGGTGGGAGTGGCGAAGCAAGGCAAAGCAAGAGTAGTGGGTGGGGGTTGAGGTTTGTATGTGGGCCCCCAGTGAGCTTGATAAGGAAGGGAAAGCCAGGAGGCGACTCCAGGCCTGTCACAATCCAGAGGGAAGGGCCCCGGCTGGGCTGCCTCTGCTGAGGGAGGGTGTGGCTGGACTTCGTTGAGAGAGTGACCCTAAGAACCTGCCTGGGACAGTCAGGAAGGGGTTCAGAGCCTCTCCTTCAGACGGCTCAGTTTTCATGTTTTTCATGGTAATGTCGCACGTAGGTGGAGGAAGGGGGGATTGTGGGCTTGGGGTTAGAGCAGGCCCTTCTGTGGGTGAGAGGGGACAGAACAGCCAAGGGACCTTGCTGCTGCTTCTGAGATACGGAGCCCAGAGTGGGTGCCTGTTTCCTGTTTGAGGGTCACCCACCTCCGTGGGCACTCGGGGTAGGGATGAGGAGGGAGAGTGGGGTATGGAAAGGCAGGTGGCCTCGTCTTCCAGGGCCATACCTCCAGCTCTCCCTGTCCATTCCATGGCAATCCCAAGGGCCACTAAGGAAAGGCAGTGTTTGGGCTTGGCTGGGGGGCCGCTTCCAGGTGGGGAGTTGGCCTCTTGAGATAGATGGAAGCCGCTGTGCAGACTTGTCCCGTGCAGACTTGTCCCATGCGTTCCACGCGGCCTCAGGCTTCTTTCCCAGCAGCACCTGTGGGTGGGTGGGTTCTCTCAGTGAGTATCGGGAGGGGCCTTTCCAGTGCCTTGAGAACAGTAACTACCCACCACGTAACCCTACACCCCCCCCCCCCAAGGGGTTCCCATCCCCACACTGGGGTCTGAGCTCCCTTGGCC